TCACAAAAGATTTCTGTTTTGCTCACTGTTGTGTCCTCAGAGTTTGGTACACAGTGTTAATGAATATTTATTGAGAGGCATTAGTGTAATTTGACAGAAGCGAGTAGATCTTACCTTTTTTAGTTAGTAATAATCATATGACTGTGCAAGTTTCCTAAATTATCTGGGTTTTCAATTCTTCTATAAAATGGGGAGAAAAAGATTACTTCTATAAAGTTTGTTGTGAAGATGAAATTATATATATGTATATATATGCACATATATATGCACACACATATCTAATGTACTTAACATGATGCTTGGCACATAGTAATATTCAAAGAAGCTTTTGTCACTGAATTAATGTATATGACCATCTGTTTTTTGTCTTTTTGTTCATTCATATCATTATAGGTGTTTATTTCTTAAAGAACCTTGATTGAAACATTCATCTTATTTACCCAGAACACAGTGTAATTATGAGAAAGGTCATAGTGCCATCCAATTAATGTTATTTAGCTTTTTTTTCCTTCCATAGTTTATATCTCTAATTTCAGTCTCACCAAAGAGATCTGAGTGAAAAGGGAGAGTGTGATGAAATTAATGCAAATCTCTCTATTGCTTCTGCTTGGAAAGCAACTTAAACCTTATGCCACGTTGCTGATGTATTAGAAGAAGCAACTTTATATGTGACAGACAGCGTTATGTAAGGCTAAGGAGACACCCTGCATTTTTAAGGACTTGTAGAAGTGTGGTTCTTTATCTTCCTTTCTGATTGATCTTAGGTCAGAAATGTATCAGAAAGTCCATGGAGGTGCATTGGTAGAAGAAAAATGTCCATGCGTAGTTATAGGATACAAGTCCATAATTTTTTTTTTTAATTTTTTTTTTTAATGTTTTATTTATTTCTAGGAGAGGGAGAGAGACAGCGTGAGCAGGGGAGGGTCAGAGAGAGAGGGAGTCACAGACTGAAACAAGCTCCAGGCTCTGAGCTGGCAGTCAGCACAGAGCCCGACGCGGGGCTCAAACCCACGAACCGCGAGACCATGACCCAAGCGAAAGTCGGACGCTTAACCGACTAAGCCACCCAGGCGCCCCAAGTCCATAATTTCTTAATTAAAACTTTTAGAGTCTGATATATTTGAGAATTACAAAATTTTCAGATTAAAAAAAAATTTTTTACAGTTTACTTTTGAGGGAGAAAGAGACACACTGAGTGTGAGTGGAGGAGGGGCAGAGAGAGAGAGGGAAACACAGAATGAAGCAGGCTCCAGGCTCTGAGCTGTCACACAGAGCCCGACGGGGGGGCTCGAACTCATGAGCTTTGAGATCATGACCTGAGCCGAAGTCAGATGCCTAACCAACTGAGTCACGCAGGTGCCCCTCAGGTTTTATTAAGATAATATGGAACATGTATCATATATCTTCAACAAGATCTGGGCAGTTCCTAGTAATCAGACATTAAAATTTTTATAGTGAAATGTAATACTCACATGAAGTGGGATATATAGAACATAAATGGTTTTATGTATGTTGAGATTAGGTGTTGCTGGTAAATGAGTTGATTGAAAATCTGTGAGAAATCTTGATTTTCAAAGGTTTTTGGTTTGGGGATTCACAGATGTGGGACTGAAGACCCCATTTGCTCACAAAGATGTCATTCCTGTAGAATTTCTGATGAACAGAAAATTTAAAGTCAATGTTGGTTTTCTTCTCTAACACCTGTAATGTTTCACTGTTTTTAGTTACCTTTAAATAAAAATAATTTATAGAATTTTAAGATCAGAAGGGATCTTTAAGCAGTAAATCATTGAAATCCTTCATAATAAAAAAAAAAAAATCTTTAAAAAAAAATGGGTGCCTGGCTGGCTCAGTTGGTTGAATGTTTGACTCTTGTTTTTGGCTCAGGGTCATGATCTCATGGTTTGTGAGATTGAGCCCTTTGTCAGGCTCTGCGCTGAGTGTGGAGCCTGCTTAGGATTCTCCCTGCCCCTCATCCCCTCTGCCCTTGTCCCCCACTCACACTCTCTCTCTAAAAAAAAAAAAAAATCCTTCATAGTAACCGGTTTTATAATTGTTATTGAACTTAAGTTTTAAATTGAAATGATATATCTGTTGCCAGAAGGAAAGTTAATACTCTTTATTCTCCACAGCTGAGTCTGATGTCTGTCAACTTTATTTTTTTTTCAATTAATTAATTTAACATAATCTCTGCATCCAACATGGGGCTCTGACTCATGACCTCTGAGATCGAGAATTATGTGTTTTACTGACTGAGCCAGCTGGACACCCTAATATCTAGTTTATTTTATTATTTTTTTAAGGGTCAGTTCTTGTTCCTTTTTTGTTTGTTTGTTTAAGTTTATTTACTTAGCGCATACCCAGGGGAGGTGCAGAGAGAGAATCCCAAGCAGGCGCCGCGCTGTAGGGCTTGATCTCATGACCTGCAGATCATGACCTGAGCGGAAATCAGGAGTCAGATTCTCAACTGTCTGAGCCACCCAGGCACTCCTAGCAAGTTTAAATGGAAAAATTATATGACTGGAAGCCTTTACTCAATTTTATATTTAAGAAATAAGATAATAGCATGAGGATTCTGTGTGTATTCCTTCGTTTGGGTACGTGATGAGGGATGTGCTTGGGGGCTCTCTGTCCCCCTGGGCATGCTGGGTTTCAGTGATTTGTAGGGTGCCTAGTTTTTGTACTTTACTACTTCAGAAAGCAGAATGAGTTACACATGTAGTGTCGACCAGATGGCTTTTAGGATGTACTTGCACAGGCAGAACATGAAACCGGCATCAGCATTTGCAGAGTGGGTGTCGGTGGCTTGGAAGAAATTCTTACAAACAGTAGTGGGGCGCTCTTTGAACCTGAGGTGGCCAAGTGGGTGAAGAACAGCTAGCTCCTCTTCGTACTGCGAAGCCAGGTAAGAGCTAAAGGCTTTTAGCTCTTTGATGGCTTCTTTTCTGAAATGCTGCATTACTAGTGTTTTCTAGACAACTTTTTTGTGGATAAAAACAGATATAATTGAATCCGGCTCAATCAGTGATTCATCATCATTGGACTCTGTGAAGTAGTTTTAGAAGCACCTTAGCCAACTTATTTTGCTTATATCTTTCTTTTATATATGTAAAAGAAATGATGGAATTATACAAGTATAAAGAAGTGATAAGAAAATACTATGATAGTTTAATAGTTTTTTTATTAGTGGCTTATAATGTGTCCAAATATAGTACATAAAGTGAATATTAGACTAAGTAAAATATGAGTGTATTAGATTACATATGATACATTAAATGAATATCAAATTGGAATATTTGGCCACAAGGTGTAAGGTGGTGCTGTTCTCATTTCGTTCCTTTTTTAATTTTAGGTGCTTCATGTAATTCTTTTAGGAGTCTTATTCTGTCTTCATCATCTACATGGGAGTTTTTGATTCTCAATGGCAGTGGACAGGCCTGTGAGCTTAACATACATCTTAATTCTGAATTTTCTCTCAGAATCTTTTTACTACTTTGTAAGAATTACATAGAGAGCACTGTTTTTTTTTTTTTTAATTGTACTTTTTTTTTTTTTTTTAATGTTTTATTTATTTCTAGGAGACAGAGAGAGAGACAGCATGAGCAAGGGAGGGTCAGAGAGAGAGGGAGTCACAGACTGAAACAGGCTCCAGGCTCTGAGCTGGCAGTCAACACAGAGCCCGACGCGGGGCTCGAACCCACGAACCGCGAGATCATGACCTAAGCGAAAGTCGGACGCTTAACCGACTAAGCCACCCAGGCGCCCCAGCACTGTTTTTTTTTTTTAACTAAAACAATTTTTTTAATATTTTGAGAGGAGAGAGACTGAATGTGAGCAGGGGAAGGTCAGAGAGAGAGGGAGACACAGAATCCGAACCAGGCTCCAGGCTCTGAGTTGTCAGCACAGAGCCCAGTGTGGGACTTAAACTCACAAACCTAGAGCTCATGACCTGAGCCAAAGTCGGACACTTAACTGAATGAGCCACCCAGACACCCTGACAGCAGTGTTTTTGTGACAGAAGAGTAAGAAACAGGAGACCTCAAGAGAATTCTAGTAAAGATATGCCCTTTCCCCCTCTGACTGTGTGAGTGAATGAGTGCTAGAGGTGCTGTAGCATCTGCTCACCCCCATTCTTCCTTTCTCAGGGTTGGTTCCTTCATGAAATAGCCATTCTTCATGGAAATTTGGGGTGTGTTATGCTACCAGAGTAAGAAACACATTTTACATTTCAAATTGGGACACACATAAACAAATGCTATTTAAAATGAACTTTAAGGGGCGCCTGAGTGGCTCAGTCGGTTAAGCGTCTGACTTTGGCTCAGCTCATGATCTCACACTTCGTGGGTTTGAACCCTGCATCCCGGACTTTGTGCTGACAGCCCGCTCAGAGCCTGGAGCCTGTTTCATGTTCTGTGTGTCCCTCTCTCTCTCTCTCTGACCTTCCCCTGCTCATGCTGTCTCTCTCTCTCTCTCTCTCTCAGAAATAAAACATTAAAAAAAATTAAAATAAAATGAACTTTAACAAAGCAGTATTTGGGGCGCCTGGGTGGCTCAGTTGGTTAAGCGTCTGACTTCGGCTCAAGTCATGATCTCGCAGTTCGTGGGTTCAAGCCCCGCGTTGGGCTCTGTGCTGACAGCTAGCTCAGAGCCTGGAGCCTGCCTCTGATTCTGTCTCCCTTTCTCTCTGACCGTCCCCTGCTCATGCTGCCTCTCTCTCTCTCTCTCTCTCCCTCTCTCTCTCTCTCAGAAATAAATAAAACATTAAAAAAAATAAAGCAGTATTTATCAAGTGCCGGTCATAGTCCAGTAAGTGGAATTTATGTTCCTTTAATGAGTTGCAGTCGACCCCTCGTTCCCTGCCCCCCTTTTATATACATACCATCCTCATATGAATAAGTGAGCCATAGTGAGTCGTAGATAGGAAAACATAAATTTAAGTCTTTAGTTGGTCCTTGTTTTACCATCTGGGAAATTGAATATGCAATTATTTTCTTTTTTAGGCTGGAGCATTGGATTTACTGAAGGAGCTTAAGAATATCCCCATGACCCTGGAATTATTACAGGTATGTGCTAACCCATGTCAGGATTTGAATAGGTAATTGTCCTAAAATGCCAAAGCATTTTTTAATACTGATGCGTTTTTTGTATTGTCCAGTTACGGTGTAAGCCATAACTCCTGTGTTTTTTAAAGATGGTAACATAAATCAATAATCTAAGTTATCACTGTAGGAAAATGTTGCCTTCCTCAAGAAGAATAACACCTAAATCTTTCAAGTTTGAAATTTCACCGTGAAAGGAAAGCAAATTGACTCTTGGGCCTGATTTGATTTCCCAAGACCCTGTGTTCTTTGTCACTGCCAGCACCTACCAGCAGGGGGCTGGTCTGGGCGGGGGGGGGGAGGGGTGCCTTTCAGCAGCTATCCCTCATTTTTCCCCAGTTGCACAGCCACCCTTGTGCCCTAGGACCCACTAATCGATCTCTGTTTTGTCTCTGTAGATTCACCTATCCTGGAGATTTCGTACAAATGAAATCATACAATATATGACCTTTTGTGTCTGGCTGCCTTTTTTTTCCTTTGAAGATTAAAAATGTTTTAATTTTAAGTATGATCTACTCCTCACCATGGGGCTCAAACTCATGACCCGAAGATAAGAGTCACATGCTCTGCCAACTGAGTGAGCCAGGCACCCTTTTGGCTTCTTTTACGTAGCATGGTCTTCTCAGGGGTCGTCCATGTTGTAGCGCATATCGGTGCTTCATTCCCTTTTCTGGCTGAACAGCATTCCACTGTATGGCTATACCACACTTTGTGTATCCATTTGGCAGTTGATGGACATTTGGGTTGTTTCTACTTTTTTGGTTGTTATGACTCATGTTCCTTGCTCTGCACATTCATGTACAGACAGGTTTGTGTGTTTTTGTTTCTTTTGGGCAGAGATCTGAAAGAGTCGAAATGATGAGTCACATGGTAACTTTATTTTGAATATTTTGAGGACCTACGGGGCTGTTCTCCCATGTGACTGCACCATTTTACATTCCCAGCAGCAAGTAAATGAAGGTTCCAGTTTATCCACATTCTTGCCAACGCTTGTTATTGTTTGTCTTTGATTATAGCCATCTTAGTGGGAGTGAAGTGATATTTCATTGTGGTGTGGATTTCCAGGTCCCAAATGACTAATGATGTTGAACATCGTTTTCATATGCTTCTTAACCAGTCATATCTTTTCTTCGGAGAAATGTTTTTTCAGATCCTTTGCCTGTTTTTAAGTTGGATAATTTGTCTTTTTATTATTAAGTTGGGATTGTTCTTTATATATTCTAGATGCAAGTCCATTATGAGATACAGGATTTGCAAGTATTACCTCCCCTGGGCTTTACATTCTTAGTGATGGTCTTTGAAGCACAAAAGCTTAAAATTTTGTTGTAGTCTCATTATCTGTTTTCTTCGGTTGCTTGTGCTTTAGGTATCAGACCTAAGAAACTGTTGCCTAATTCAGGGTTTTAAAAATTTATTCCTTTGTTTTTTAGCTCTTTTGTTTAGTTCTGTGATTCATTTTGAGTTAATTTTCATGTGTGGTATAAATAGGTCCAATGTCATTCTGTAAAAGAATGATATGTAAAAGAATATGGATATCTAGTTCACCTTTTCTTAAAAAATGTTTTTTGTTAATTTATTTTTGAGAGAGATTGTGAGCAGGGGAGGGGCAGAGAGAGAGGGAGACACAGAATCCGAAGCAGGCTCCCAGCTCTGAGCTGTCACCACAGAGCCTGATGCGGGGCTTGAACTCATGAACCGTGAGATGATGATTTGAGGCTAAGTCAGCTGCTTAACTGACTGAGCCACCCAAGTGCCCCTCACCTTTTTAAAATATTCTTTTCTCTAATGAATTATCTTGACATCCTTATTGAAGATCAGTGACAGAAGAATGTAGGGACTTGTTTCTGGATTTTTTTTTTTAATTAAAAAAAATTTTTTTAAATGTTTTATTTTTGAGAGAGAGAGAGAGAGACAGCGTGAGCAGGGGAAGGTAGAGAGAGAGGGAGACACAGAATCTGAAGCAGGCTCTAGGCTCTGAGCTGTCAGCCCAGAGCCCGATGCGGGGCTCGAACCCACGAACCGTGAGATCATGACCTGAGCCAAAGTCGGACGCTTAACCAACTGAGCCACCCAGGTGCCTCTCTGGATTCTTAAATCTATTCCATTAATCGTGTCTCTCCTTCTATAGGACCCCGTTGTCCTGATTATTGTAGTTTTGTAATACGTTTTGAATTTGGGAATTATGAGTCCTTCAGCTTTTTCAGGATTGTTTTGGCTGTTTTTTGGGTCCTTTGTATTTCCATGTGAACTTTAGGATAAGCTTATCAATTTCTGCACTAAAGGCAGTTGAGATTTTAATAGGGATTTTATTGCAGTCTGATTTTATTAGGATTTGCAGCCTTAACATTTAAGTCTTATGATCTGTGTATATGGAATGCCTTTACATTTATTAAAGTCTTTAATTTCTTTCAACGATGTTACATAGTAGCTTTATGCTTTTTACTTTAAGATTTAGTGGCTATCTTAAATCATCTTGGCAGAAACTCATGAGTGATCATAAAGGTGATTTTTCTTCTAGAGTATACCAGTCTGCTTATTTCCTGTGATGCTGACAGCATCTCTTAATCTCACTTCTCATTCCTTTCTGCTTGACCACCAGCGTGCATCTCATTCCCTGAGTCTGCTTAATGCCCTCTCCATCTTTCCACGGTAGTGTCTTTCTAATTGCATAGCTGGTGTTCTGTAGAAACCAGATGGTCAGCCGTGGCCAAAGGCACACATTTTCCCTGTCTAGCATTTCACAGTATATAGTTCATCTCAAAAACCTTCATTAGTCCTGCAAACAAGAAGCCTGTTTAAATCTACAATCCTTCATGTAATTTGAGCAAGCAGTACTTCTTTGTAGGGTATTTGTTATATCCTATAAATTAAAGAAAACTCCAGAGTCTAGGGAATTCTAAGACTTGGTTGTCCAAGTTAAATGGCTTCATAATCCTTTCTTCTCTCTACTTTCCTCTATCCAAATACTCTCTTTAAAAGGAGAAAAAAAAATACCGTACCCAAATCTTTGTTTTGCACTCTACCTCAGCAGCCTCATTTCTTATTATTGTTGACTGGATAGTCTCTTCCTTAGAGAAGTATGTTTGTTACAGATTCCTACATTCTCCATAGGGATTTTCATAGGTTTTCAGTAGGAAATTATTGACTCTTTCATAGGATGAAAACATCACATCCTGTGATCATAAAAACGCAAGCACCCAAGGTACCTGATTTGCGTAAGCTGTTCCTGTATCTTTGCTCGCCTCTGCCTGCCTCTTAAAGCTCCGCTCTCTTTGCCAGTCTGTGTCAGCTCCAAGCTTCAGAACTGTATTAGTAAGTCAGATGATTTCTTCCACTCATTCCAAAACTAGGTTTCCTTCTGGGTGGGTGGGGTGGGTTGTGGGGTGGCCATAAGGGAGAGCTGTGAATGGGTGCGGGAGGAGGGGGGCCAGAGGCGTCAGGAGAAAAGAAGTCAGACCTGACAGATACTCTGCTCTGTACCTGGCCGGAAGCGCAAGCAGTTAGCTGTGTGTCCAGCTCTGGGTCCACACAATTGGAGACCATGCCGCCTGGCCCAGGAACTTGCTTCTGGAAAATTTTCTATATTGAAGTGTTCTTTAGAAAAGTTCTAAAATTCTGAAAGTATTTTCTTCACTAAAAAAAGTTCCAAGAACATTTTATCAAAGCAATAAGCCACTTTTTTGGGGGGGAGGAACCCTCCCCAAGCATTAATCTCAAACCATTTTAGGATTTTGCAATTGTGGAGTCGCCTTTATCTTTCTGCTCTGGAACCTTATCTGCCTTGCACAGCATTCTTTCCAGTGATACAACTTAGGCCATGCTAGCCAAACAAACACATATTCTCAATTCTTGAACAGAATTTCTATCCTGAATCTCTTTGTTGGGAGATTTCAATAATTTAGCAGGAAACTGGAAGTACCCATTTATTACTCTACCTTAAAGTTTACAGCAGGCATTCCTGCTTTTTTTTAACCACTAACAATTCCTTTTGTTGTTTTTTTCCTTCCGTTGATCATATTTCTTGAAAGATCGTCTACCAACAACTTGAACTTACTAAATAATTTACCATTTTTTATTTATCATCCTTAATTGACCTGTCATAGCTTTTGTGTTCTTTGAACACAATTTGAAAACCGTTGATGTGCTGGGAAGAGCTGGACTTTGGAGGTGCATTAAAATCCCGGCTTTGCCAATTAGGTCTGGTGTGTTGCTGGACGAGTAGGGATAGTGATTCAAGTTTAAAGGGTTGTTAGGAGGGGATGCCTGGCTGGCTCAGTCCGTGGAGCAGGTGACTGTTGATCTCAGGGTTGTGAGGCTAGGCCCCACATTGGGTATAAAGTCCACTTTAAATAAATTAATTCAATTAAAAAAATAAATGGTTGTCAGGAATATTAATGAATATGGATGCATAATTGTGGGTACACAGTATTATCACATAATACTTTACTGTATTCTTTGAAGTCAGTTTTTTAAAAATGTTTATTTATTTTGAATAGAGGGAGGGAGAGAGAGCAAGTGGGGGAAGGGCAGAGGGGGGGAGAGAGAATCCCAAGCAGGCTTTGCACTGTCATTGCAGAGCCTGATGTGGGGTCAATCCCACGAACCATGAGATCATGACATGAACTTCAAGAGTCTGATGCCTAACTGATGGAGCTACCCAGGTGGCCCACTGTGAAGTCCGTATTAATGTCTGTAATTATATGCTGGTTTGAGGCAAAAAAGAAACAAAACAAAACAAAAACAAACCCAACCCCAAACCACTTTTAAACGTCTGTAGATGGTAATATTTGTTTGAGTATCCTTATTAAAGTTGCAGCAGGTGACCCATGAAGGAATCTATGTAGAAGAACATTTAGAAGCAAAACAGTACATGTGTTAGTCATGGTGCTGCAGCATGCCTTCTGTACAAATACAGACGTTTTATAGTTCGTTCTTCCTTTAAGGGATGTGGAAAGACTGATCTCATCTTCCCAGTTCACCAGCCTCATTACAGTAGCAACTCAGTGTATCTGCCTGCAGATCTCTGTGATAATAACCTTGATGAGCTCAGGGTTTGACTGGAAGATGCATGCATCTTATTCTGTAGTATACTATTATGAGAATTCAAATAACTGAGGCTTTCTTCTCTTCTACCATTGAAACAAGAAAATGGGAAAGAACAGAACGAAGCACTAAATTGTCTGAAATGAAACAGCATATACAAATTGTTTTTGTCATTGCCTTGCAGTCCACAAGAATTGGAATGTCAGTCAATGCTATTCGTAAACAGAGTACAGATGAAGAAGTCACATCTTTAGCAAAGTCTCTCATCAAATCCTGGAAAAAGTTATTAGGTATGATTGATCTTCCCTTATGTGTTTGTGCTCTGGCTTATTCAGGTGTTCTGTGTGTGCGTTTTTTACTGTTTATAAATACAGAGGTACTGAAATCAGTGCCTTCTATTAAGTAGGATGGGTGTCAGTTTGACCTTGAGGGTTTTGCTTTTTAAACTAGTCAAATTTAGGTTTTTTTGTTTTTTAAAACTTAGAACTGGATTGCCTCTTTTTTTTTTAATTCTATTTTTTAAAAATTTTTAATGTTTTTTGTTTGTTTTTTTTTTTAATTTCTGAGAGAGAGAGACAGCATGAGCAGGGGAGGGTCAGAGAGAGAGGGAGACACAGAATCTGAAACAGGCTCTAGGCTCTGAGCTGTCAGCCCGGAGCCTGACGCAGGGCTCGAACCCACGAACCGTGAGATCTTGATCTGAGCTGAAGTGGGATGGTTAACCGCTGAGCCACCTAGGCACCCCTGGATTGCCTCTTGAAGAAGAAACTTTTCCCCCATGGGAAAAGTTGTCATTCATTTTAAAAAGGTTTTTGAAGTAATTTTCTAACTTACAGAAAGTTTATAAAAACAATAAAAATCACTCACATGTATCCTTTTTCTAGATCTGTTAATTTTTAATATTTGCCATACTTGTTTTGTCATTGTTTCTTTCTTCTCTTTCTCTGTATGTATACACTCACGCATACAAATTTTCCGTATGTATACACTCACACGCATATAAATTATTCTCCGTTATGTATATACTCATGCATGTACAAATTATATTTTCTGAACCATCGGGGAGTAGGTTGTGTCTATCGTGCTTTACCCTTTAATACTTAAGTGTGTGTTTGCTTGGAATAAGTTTATTTTCTTCTGTAATCATATTATAGGAAATCCAGGACATTAACATTGGTACAGTGATCTACAGTGCAGGTTCCAGCTTTGTCACGTGTCCCGGTGGTGTCCTTTAGAGCTTTTTTTCTTCTTTCAGAACAAGATCTAGGCTAGGATCACATAATCTAGTCTCCTGGTCTGGAATAGTTCTTAAGCTTTCTTATGCTATTTATAACATTGACAATCTAAAGAATACAAGCACTCTTCTCACTTTATTTTTAGTAGCATCTTCCTGATTGGGGCTTTATCTATTATTTTCTCATGGTTAGATCAGGTTGTGCATCCAGAGGTGGAATGCTCTGGAAGCGTGTGCTGTCCTTCCTGGGGTATCACCTCCAGAGGCATTGGTGACCATGACGTTCGTTTTGATGACCTGGTCAAGGCGTACACCGTGTCGTTTCTTGTTTTTCCTTTTGTATCTAATAGGTATTCTGTGAGAGATACTTTCAGACCCTCAAACTGTCTTGGTTCTCATCAGACCTCCCCTTATCCCCTGTTTAGTATTTACTGATTTTTGCCCAAACCACCTTTTATTGTGATCGTTGCAAAATTGTAATTGTCTTTAATATTTCTAAGTCAGCATTCTGCTGTAAGAAAGTACCCTCCTTTTACCTCCCAGTTATTTTTCTATTAGTGTGGACACATAGATTCCTGTTTTATACAATGGATTATAATCCATTACTATTCATATTTATTTTGATATTTACATTATCCCAGATTTGACCAGTGGGCACCCATTCAAACTGGCCCCTGTGTCCTTTTGACACCCTCTTCAGTTTTCTTGATTGCTGTTTTATGTTCTGGAACCAAAAAATGTGTTGGGTTCATCTCTCTTCCCTACCTCAGCCCTGGAATCAGGCTTTTCTCCAGCAGTTATTAGCATTATCAGGAAGAGAAAAATAGAAAAAGTTGAATCTTTTAAAATTTCAAAGACAACAATAGTGATAACAAAAAACCTTATTACTTCTAAGATCTTGGAAACTAGAGACTAAAAATTATAAATTGGGATAATTGACAAAATTTTAGTAATGTCTGTAGGTAAGTAAACAGTACTGTATCCTTGTTAAATTTACTTATGTACTGTGGTTGTACAAATGAGTTATTTTTCCATAGGGAATACATGATGAAGTGTTTTGGGATTAAGGAGCATGATATCTGCTACTTATTTTCAAATAGTTCAAAAGTGCGGTCTGTATGCACACCAGGATGTATACGTGTGTATACGTACAACACATGTATGCATGTCTGTAGGCGCAGTGAATGAACGAGGAAGCAAGTGTACCAAACATTAACATTTGGGGAATCTGAGTGAAGCTTCTTGTACCAGTCTTAAAACATTTGTGCAAGTTTCAGATTATTTCAAAATAAAAGCTTTTTAAAAATAGTCTTTAAAGACAAACTAAAACTTTGTGTTTATAATTAATTTAAATTTTGAGTCAAATTCCATATTCTAAAGTAATTAAAATTTGCCATAGACACTGACTGAGAACCATATATATGTATGTTTTTATTTCTGGAAAGATGGTTTACATTTTGTGGGGCATTGTAGTTATATTTATTCAATCTTAATTTAAAGAAGGTTTACGTTTTTATACTTATTGGAGGTATCTGATCTCATTACAAGTTCTCTTTTAAAACTTTTTTTTATGTTAAAAGATTTCCATGTTCATTAGATAAAGTTTGGAGAGTTGAGGAGGAAAAGAAACCTCCTTAAGTCTGTCTCTAAATACAACCGTCGGTTAGTATCTTGTTGCGTTTCTTATCTTTTTTCTCCTAGTGCATAGATTTTGCTTCAGCTAGAATTCTTTTTATGCTGTATGTATAGTTACTTATATTGTCTTTTTTAATGAAAAAAATTTGTATTTTTATATCACATTCATTTTTATTGGCTTCAGAATAATCCACTGGGTGATTATGCTTTAATTTCTTACCTATTAGATATGTGTTGTTGTTGTTTTTTTTACTTTATAGCTATTATAAATAATGTCTTGATGAATATCTTTTTGCCTAAAGCCTTTTTTTTTAGATTATTAAATAGATTTCTGGAAGATTTACTACTGCTGCTACATGGCAGCACAGTTTTTGAACACTCCGATATGCCAAGCATTGACCCCTGTGAATGCGCTTAGCTCTCCCAAGAACCCAGTGTACGAGGGGCCGTTATATTTCCCGTTTTCTGATGGGGAATGCCGGCACTGAGAGGTGAAGCAGTCTGCGCACAGTTGGGCTGGTCATGAGGTGTGATCTGCAGGCAGCCTCGGTCCAGAGCAGATTTTCTCTGGCTCTGCTTTATTGCCCATGGCACTGTGGTTAGGCCCGTGGCATGGTAGGTAGGCAGCAGGACTGCTCTCGCTGCCCGGGCTCCTTCTGGGATTGCACCAGAAACCTGGCTAGGGCGAAGTGCGGGACCGCATGTAGCACCAGGTCTCTGAGGGAGCGCTGCACTGTTACACCGCCCTTCAGACGCTTTCTACTCCCCTAGTTTGGGAATGTTTCTTAGTCCTTGTTATATTCTGTAATGTCTTTATTAATGTTTGTTTTCTACCTCACAGTCCTCTACCATGTTTAGCTTTGGGAGCCTTTCACTGAATTGTAGAGAATAAATAGGGGTAAGAATGGGGTGCCTGGGTGGCTCAGTCATTTAGGCATCTGACTCTTAATTTTGGCTGAGGTCATGATCCCAGGGTTGTGGGTTTCAGCCCTGAGTTGGGCCCTGGACTGAGGTTAGAGCCTGCTTAAGATTCTCTCTCTCCCTCTCTCCCTCCCTCCCTCCCTCCCTCCCTCCCTCCCTCTCTCTCTCTCTCTCTCTCAATTAAAAAAATAAAAATAAAGGAGGGCAATAAAATGAGTATCTGAAAACTAACACTATATCATAGGGGACCTGAATTATATTTCAGATTTGGTAACCCTAATGTTTACAAGGGAAGTTCTAGAATTGTGATTTGCACCTTTTTCTTAGCCAGTCAGCCTCATCTAGATCATCCAGTGCTCATCTAGAGCACAGGATAGTCATCTAGGGACCTTTCTTTGGTCCTCAAGCCTCATTGCCAGAGCTTGGGGTGGAATGGGTCCAAGATGGGGCCTTGAGCATAGAGATTGCTTCAAGGTCATCTAGGTGGTCCTGATGAACAGCTGACTGTATGTGCTCTCATATCCTGTGCAGAGGAAGAGGGAGAAGTGAGGTATTTATGTAACTCTTATTATGTGGGGATCAAAACGTGGATAGATACGTAAGGTAATTTGTGCAGGAGATCCAAACATTTCCTGACCCCAGCTTCAGAAGGCCCTCTGGTTGATTTAAACACGTATGTATGTTTCTTTTCATTGTTTAACGATTGCACTGGTCCAACCTATTTTACACCTCTTATCTCTCTCTTTTTTTTTTTTTTAATAACACCAGCTTGTGGACTTGGTTATTACTTTACAGATTATTTAAGATAGAGGAAGTGTTAGATAGGCCTTACTAATCCTGAAGTCTTTTCTATGAAAGTGTTCTTTGTTTACTGTCCCTGAAATAATTTATTTTTTGACTTCATGAAAAATTGTTAAAATAATATTGTTATATATACTTTGCACTTTCATCTTTAAAACTTTTAAATGTTATTTTGAGAGAGAGAAGGAGAGAGAGAGAGCAAGCGTGGGGAAGGGGCAGAGAGAGGGAGAGAGGGAATCCCAAACGGGTTCCACACACTCAGTGTGGAGCCCAGCACGGGGCTCAAACTCACAAACCATGAGATGACCTGAGCCCAGATCAAGAATGGGAAGCTTAACGAACTGAGCCACCCAGGTGCTCCTGCACTTTAATTTTTAAAATGATAGTGCTGATATTATTTCCATGTTCTTTCCTTTGTTCTATATATTTTTCTCCACTTAACTAATTGTTTTTTTAAGATTTTATTTTTAAGTACATTTTTGTCTATTTTAGGTTCCCACTGGCATATGAATTGTGCTTCCCACCAAATGAAGGAGTTTTTTGGGGAATGCTGACTAAGCATGCATTGTGAAAAATACCCAAGTACATATGTTAATATGATAGCTTACATAAACTTTATTTACTGTTGAAAACTTAGGATTTTTGGGTTTTTTTGTTGTTGCATAAATAGCCTGATTATTTCTAGTAGTTCCTTTTTTAATTTTTTTTTAATGTTTATTCATTTTTGAGACAGAGAGAGACAGTGTAAGTGGGGGAGGGGCAGAGAGAGAGAGAGGGAGACACAGAATCCGAAGCAGGCTCCAGGCTCTGACCTGTCAGTACAGAGTCTGACGCAGGGCTCAAATCTATGAACCACAAGATCATGACCTGAGCCAAAGTTGGATGCTTAACCGACTGAGCCCCCCATGTGCCCCTGTAATTATTTTTTTTAAACAAATGCTAACAGCTAAGAATTTCATAATTTTTAGATGGACCATCTACAGATAAAGACCCTGAAGAAAAGAAAAAAGACACTGCAGTTACATCACAGAATAGCCCTGAAGCAAGAGAAGAAAGGTATGTCCCTTTACGGAAATTCATTTCTGTCGGAAGTTGTAGCTGTAACTTGCTTGTCACTTCCTCCATGGTCGTATTTTGTCTTATTTATGGTTCCCTATCTGTATCCTCTTTTTGTTTTCTAATTAAATGGAATTAGTAAATATATGTAGCCAAATAGACTATTCTAATGTTTCTTACAGGATTTTCCTGGAAATTTAAGAGACTTATAAGACATTACATGAATAAGGAGAAATTATTTATACCGTATTCAACAAGCTTAATTGAATGGAATATTTGTGATAGCACTACTAGAATTGATAGTGAAGGTACTGATTGAGGCTTCAAGTGGTTGGGGGCCATGTAGGTGGCTCAGTCGGTTAAGCATCTAACTCTTGATCTCAGCTCAGGCCTTGATCTCAGGGTTGTGAGTTCAAGCCCCTTGTTGGGCTCCATGCAAGATGTAGAGCCTACTTTAAAGAGAAAAAAAAGGATTCAAGTGGGTACTTCCTTTATTTACCACATTCCATAGATTTTGGGGGGGATGGTACCTGGATCTAATTCTCTTTTTATGCCTTTTTTCCTTCCCAATTTAACTGTCATAAGAACTGAAAAAGGCTTCTCACCTCTTGGGAGACCTTTGCATTTATTCTTTCCTGTCACATATAAGGGACTGTGTAATCCCCAGCATGTTGAGGTAGTAGGTGATATGCCTGGTAGGTTAAATACAGCTCCTCTATTCTTGGGAAGCTTGTGTTTTAACACTTGACTTTGATTTAGAGCAGTAGTTCTCAGTGTGGTCCCTGGAATGTGGGGCACCTGCCAACTTGTTAGCAAAGGAAAATCTGGGGCTTTACCCTGAAACTATTGAATCGGGAATTCTGGTGGTGGGCCCAGAAATGTGTTTTTAACAATCTATTCAGGTGATTCTGATGCACTCAAGCTTTAGGCTACTTATTTTAACTTCATTTATTTCTTAGTATTTTTCCCCAAAGTGGTAATGTACCCCTCATTTGTTCAGTAACAGCGACTAGTATCCCATATACTGTTATTTTATGCATTAGACTAACTAAAGTTGATGCTAAAAGAGGTAAGCTAAAGATAGGGTTAAACATCAGTTGTTAATAAAATTCTGACTCTTTGAGATAGTTTTAGACTTTTAAAAAATTGTGAGAGTAGTACAGAGAATTCCCAGTTGCCAGTGTATGTGTATGTACATACACTTATGGTTGTGTACATACTCAAGACACATGAATAACTTATTTTGAACCAAATAGGAGTTCTTTATATCCCTAACTACATCAGTGCATGTTTCTTAGGAACAGGACATTTTCTCACATCTAATCACGGTGCAGATCTCAGTGTCTGCGAGTTAGGATTAATACAATACTTTTTTCTAATCTACCCAGCTTACTCGTATTTTAGTAGTTTCCCCCTTACTCCAGAGGAAAAAGATTTTTCCAAAATATCTAGAATCACATACTGCATTTAGCTATCATCACTTGTTTCCTTTAATCTGGAGTGATTCTTCAGTCTGTCACTGTCTTTCATGACCTTGATATTTTTTAAAAGTATAGGTCATAATTTATGAAATTTTTAACAAATGCTTTCAGTTGTGTTACATTCAAAGTCACTGACTTAATGCCTTAAATATAAAATATAAAAGTATAGGCAGGTAATTTTATTTATTTTTTGTTTAAAATTTTAAAAAATATTTATTTATGATTGAGAAACAGAAAGAGACAGAGCATGAGCAGGGAAAGGGCAGAGAGAGAGGGAGGCATAGAATCTGAAGCAGGCTCCAGGCTCTGAGCTGTCATCACAGAGCCCTACACAGGGCTCAGACTCACAAACTGAGAGATCATGACCTGAGCCGAAGTCATACGCCTAACCGACTGAGCCACCCAAGCACCCCTAGGCAGATGATTTTAAATAGATATTGAAGTAGGAATAAGTTCTTAGTGTATCTTTATCTGTTTTACGTAATTGAAGTTTAGAGATGGAGCCTATTGACAAAAGCATGGTATTATCACATGGGAAATCTGACCGAATGGTTGGTATCTGTCCACACGTATACGCGCTCAGTCACACACGCACTCTCTGAAGGTGACAGAGCTCCTAGGGTATGATGAAACGTAGAAGGTGTACAGAAGGGCTGGGCTGCCCAGTGTCCTCTGTTTTTGAAGTTTTTATTTATTAAAACAATTTTTTTTAACATTTATTTTTGAGAGAGAGAAATAGAGCACGAGCAGGGGAGGGGCAGAGAGAGAGAGGGAAGCACAGAGTCTGAAGCAGGGTCCAGGCTCCGCGCTGACAGACTGACAGGAGCGAGCCTAATGTGGGGCTTGAACCTATGAACCTTGAGATCATGGCCTGAGCTGAAGTTGGACACTTAACCAACTGAGCCACCCAGTGCCCTGTCATTTATTTATTTTTATTTTAAAGCAAGGGAGAGGGGCAGAGGGAGAGAGAGAATCCCAAGCAGGCTCCATGCTCAGCACGGGCCCGACAAGACGGGGCTTGATCCGATGACCTGGGATCATGACCCCTGTTGGGCTCTGTGCTCACAGTGTGGATGGAGCCTGCTTGGAATTTTCTCTCTTCCTCCCTCCCTCTGCCCCTCCTTTGCTCGTACGTGCGCTTGCTCTCTCTCATAAAGACATGAATAAACTTAAAAAAAGTTAAAAAAAAAAAGGTTAATTGAAATCCCGCAGAAAACATTTTATTGAGAATCTAAGAAATCAGCAGCAGTTGAAATGATTGGGTCGACTCAAAAACTAGTAAGCTGCCCTGTTTGGATTGGTGTTTCTAGGGAGAAATTAAAGAGACGTTTTTATATTTTTACAATTCCTTTCTCGCTACACATGTGTTTTTATCCAGAAGGGAGTGTTTTAAGTATAAACCTCTTTGGTTGTCTCATTAGAACAAGGTTTCTCAAACCTTGTTTCCCCTCCAGGTCTGCTTGAGAGTTCTTGTGTTCTGTGTGGTCCCCTCGCCCCTCATGGGGCCCAAATCCTTGCTTTTCACTTATTGTATTGAGCTGCGATGGGTATTTTCTTAATCATTAAAATTATTGTTTAATGTTTAAAAAGATCAAGGTAAATGTTTAGGTGGTTAAAAAAACATGAGTGAGTCTCAGATTTAATAAAATTTTAACTTTTTAGAAATCTATACATGCGCCATTTTCGTTTTCCTCTGTCACCGAATACTGTATCATTTGTTTAGATCAAAAAATTTTATTTTTAAATAGCGATGCGGTTACGTTAAGAGACTTTTTCTTGATCTCTTTTTGGCGTGTGCGCGCGTGTGTGTATGTTAGTAGTTCCAGTGGCAACGTGAGCAGCAGAAAGGAGGAGGCAAATGCTCGAGATTCTTACGTGTCGTCCTTCCCTCGGGCACCGAGCACCTCGGACTCGGTCCGGTTAAAGTGTAGGGAGATGCTGGCGGCCGCTCTGCGGACAGGAGGTGAGTGTCGCGGCGCCGCGCTGCCCCCGACCTGTGTACCGCCGCCTCTGCCGCCCGGCCCCGGGCGTCCCCGCGCTGGACTGCGCCCGCGTCTGGTCCGGGGTGGCAGGTGGGGCCGGTGCTGGCAGACAGGGACGGGCGTTCCCGGGGAGGTACCTTCCCACGCACGGGGGTCCCCCTTGCTTCCGGCACCTTCGCGGGCCTCCACACATCTTCCCCCGCTTTTAACCTGTGCGCAGGATCACTCACAGTGCAGATTCTTTATGCAAAAACAGTTCGGTGCTAGAAGTGTGTTTTTCTCTCAGGATTTTCCCAGTAGCATTTTCTTTTCTTTAGCTTACTTTATTATGAGGAGACAGTATGTAATACATATAACGTATAAAATATGTGTGGTTTATGTTACTGGTAAGGCTTTTGGTCACCAGTAGGCTGTTATTAAGTTTTGGGGGAGTCAGGGGTTACAGTGGATTTTCTACCGCATGGGGTGTTGGCGTCCCTAACTCCTGTGTTGTTCGAGGGACAACTGTAATTACCCTGCTCCCAGACTGAGCGTTAATGATAGTGTCTTTGGGTCCTGTTGTTAAATGTTAGTATGAAATGTAGTATTTACGTTGTATATTTATAATTTCATTTTCTGCCTTTTTTTTTTTTTAAGTGGAAAAGAGATCTTGATTTATATATATGGGAGCCTTAATTGCATTTGAAGTTATCCACTTTTATGTAAAATTTTAAGTTTTACATACAGGAATTATTTATTGTCTTATACAAATTCATTCTTTTTCTTTTCTGTTATACTTGAACCATAGTTAGTATGACCTGTTTTCCTCTTTACTCCTCCCTTTATATTTTGATTCCCTGTTTCTTTATGTATTTTTTCTTTTTTCTTCCTAGTTTCTTTTTATTTCCTTCTATCTGTTTGAATATTTGCATAGGAGTCTTCTGAGTGTGTCCATATATGTGATTGGCAGAGGAAATGAATGGTTTCTTTGCATTGAAGCCTGAGGCACAGGAGACAAGACAGTTCTCTCTATAACTTTCACTACTCTCTGCCGGAGCCACCAGAATTGATGGAATTGTGCAGTGAGGAATTGCCTGCTAGATCACTTCCTTCCCCACTCCTGAGGGGTAAGGAGTCGGCATTGCAGGAGTGCTGTGGACGTTAGGTGAATCCAGGAGAGGAGTCAAGGGGGCAGTAAAGGGACCAGATTCTAATGAAACTAAACACACAGGATTCTTTATTAGGGCAGTGGGGTTGAAGAAACAGGAATGCAGTTTAAGTTACTCTCTGTTGAAATTTTCTTTTAATATCTCGTGATCACTTACTCTTGACAATTCTTTGTGCCTGTGTTTAGATGACTACGTCGCCATTGGAGCTGATGAGGAAGAATTAGGATCTCAAATTGAGGAAGATATCCTTTGTGTGTTATGTTCATGATTGTTTTAAAAAATCTGGTACAGATGAACTGTTGTTTTCTTTCTGTATAGAACTTAGAGTTTTCATTTTTCAATTTCTGTCTTGATTGTATTGTTTTGCTGGGAAAGAAGAGGGCCAGCCATGGCATTTTATTCTGGTTTTCTGGTTATTTGAAAGGAAAACATGTATGTTGATAGTATTTTTACTTTTCTGCCTTGCAGGTTAAGACTGTGACACCTCAGTAGAAGGTGTGTAAAAGGGTGTGGAAAACACACAGACTGTGTATGAAGTAGGGTTTCATGTTTGAGGGAACTCGGCAAAGCACGTGAGGTCCTCTGAGTGCATTCTCAGGAGGGAAGTGTGTTTGTGCTGGGCACCATTGAAGGGGCTTTGGAAGAGGGACCTTGTTCATCTAGGTGACAGCATGACCCTGGAACTATCCATGGCCCTGTTGGATAGCGTGTGGCTCTCAGGGCTCCCCTTCTGTTGAGAAGAAAAGAACCTGCTAAACTAGCTTCTTGCTGAGCTGGGAAAGAAGTGAACCTTTGGGGCCACTACGAATGGTTTCTTCCCAGAGGGTTCCAAAGGTGCTGTGTCATCACGACTTTAGGATCCTTTGTAGAATTCCGATTTGGGCAAGCCAAAGTTGGTATAAATTCAGGCTTCCTTTTTTTTTTTTTAAACAAATTTTCTCACTCTGAGTACTTGTTACTTTTTGAAACATTTTTAATTTGTGTGCTGCTGGCATTCAGCATTATGAAGAAAGTATTGTTCATTCTTTTTTAATGTTTTATTTATTTCTAGGAGAGAGAGAGAGACACAGCATGAACAGGGGAGGGTCAGAGAGAGAGGGGGTCACAGACTGAAACAGACCCCAGGCTCTGAGCTGGCAGTCAGCACAGAGCCCGACGCGGGGCTCAAACCCACGGACCGCGAGATCATGACCTAAGCGAAAGTCGGACGCTTAACCGACTAAGCCACCCAGGGGCCCCTGTTCATTCTTGATATAAAAGTAGGATCACTATTTCTTGCCAGTTCCAAATCAAGAAATGAGGTAGAAACACTGTATTGTTAGCATAATCTAAATTGGAAACATTTTTGGAGAACTGCTTAGAAATTTCAGGAATTCTTATCTTGGTGAACTAGATAAAAAAAAAATACCTTACTTTTATAATTTAACCTTTTTTCCTTGACGGCCTAGTACCTATATATCAAGAAATAAGGAATACAGACATGAAATACAAAAATAGAGTACGAAGTAGGATATCAAATCTTAAAGATGCTAAGAATCCAAATTTAAGGAAAAACGTACTGTGTGGAAATATTCCTCCTGACTTATTTGCTAGAATGACAGCAGAGGTGAGTATATGTGGCTATAATGTTTCCATGATGTTATTTCCTGATGCCAAGTGCAAAGTCTGTCTGAATCATGAAGTACTAAATAAATACTACATTTATAATAAATCCTTATTAGCTATTCTGATATATTTATATGTGTAATGTGCTAGACAAATACATACGGTGATTGAATCCGTTGGTATCAATACTTTGTTCCTTACACAACTGGACCCTGATCTTTGGTTGATTGCCTTAAATCATTGTCTAAAAACAGAAGTGTTTTTACTTACTTTGGATTCGTGTTGAATTGAAGATTTGAATATCTAATTGCAAGCAGACTTGGTAACCTGAGTTCTTTTCATGGTTAAACCCCATAAAAGTGGCCACATCATATTGACTATTTGTTAAATTATAGGGAATGATGGAGAAAACAGAATTCGGAGCTTGCTCTTTATAGACAACCGTTCATCATCTGCAATCTCATTATGCAGTCTCATTATTTTATTATGTATCCAAGAGAATCGATTTGTCTGTCTATGTAGCTAATAAAAATTGTATTTTTAAAATTCATTTTTTAAAAAACCTCATTAAAAACACTTAAAACTTTAAATTAGAGACCATAGTGTAATGCTCCTGTATATATCCATCACCCAAGCTTCAGGTATTTTCAAGAATTTGTCACCCTTTTCATCTGTCCCTTTTTTCTTTTTTCTTCTTTTCTCTTGACATCATACCCTTTTACTTTAAAACCTGACAGAGGTAACCTTTAAAAATATGATAACTTTCTTACATAACTACGCTGTCATTACTACATCCAACAAAGCTAACAGTAATTCCTAATTTGTATTCATATATTCCTGATTACATATGACTTTGTATCAGGATCCAGGTCTATATACTGCTTTTAGTTTGGCCTCTAAAGATTTTGTATGTATGTATTTAAATCCATAGCAGTCTTTTCTCTTACCCCTGGCCCTGTTTTTCTTCATGACACTGACCTGTTGAAGAAACCAGTTTATTTCTTCTGTATCCCCCAGAATGAATGATCTTTTTCTCCCTCATGGTGTTATTTTTCTGTCCCCTCTATTTTCTGTAAATTGGGAACTAGTTCTGTAGGCTTGATTACATACAAATTCAGCTATTTTCCCCATGTAAATACTTTGTAGTTGGCGCTTTTTGCTTCATGTTGCACCACATCGGAAGCTATATACTGCTTTACTGCTCCAGACTGTTAGCATGCTGAGCTCGATCAGTGGGTTTGGATGAGGACAGTCCACTTCTTCCACTGTAATGTTCTCCTCTGATCTTTCATCGGGATTGGTTCTGTACAGTAATTTATTTTGGTTCTGTACAGTAATTTATTTTGATAGCTGAAGGAATTGTTCCGTCCTTGGCTAATGGGAGCTCCTTCATGTTCGCCCCTCTGTCTGTACGACTCAACCGCAAAAGTCTTTGGAGGCTTCCATGCTTCTGTGGCACATGGAGTGATGGCCCTGGCTTATCCTGTGCATCTCTTGTCTCCTCCAGAGCTCCCTGGTTCCTTTTTGGGGAGGGTGATGGTAGAGACCATAATCTGGGTACTAGAGGTACTCATTGCTATAGGATTATTATGTTGTTCATAAACCTTTAAACAGAAAATCTCATTTTCACATACAAACTTAGAAGTATTTGAAGAAATTTTAAAAAGAAGCAAACTCCTATGAGCTCTATGAGGAAAAATACTAATTTTTCACTTTTAAAACTTCAGAGGTTTTTGTTCTATTATTATGAAGCTAATTGAACATAAAGAGCACTCAGGATGTGTACAGAAGATGCCTATTAACTGAGTGGTATCTCCACCTCGTCAACAGGAAATGGCTAGTGATGAACTCAAAGAGATGCGGAAAAACTTGACCAAAGAAGCCATCAGAGAGCATCAGATGGCCAAGACTGGTGGAACCCAGACTGACTTATTTACATGTGGCAAATGTAAAAAGAAGAACTGTACTTATACACAGGTTTGTGATCGTTTTTAGACTCTTATTTTCATATTAAGAGTGCTTAAGGGTATTATGCCAAGTCAGGTAAGACAGAAAGACAAATACTGTATGACCTCACTTAATATGTAGAACCTAAAAAACAAAAGAAATGGATTAACCAAAAATGTTTGAAACTCAGATACAGAGAGCAAACTGGTGATTGTTGGAGAAGAGAGGTGGAGGGTGGGCTGCATGGAAGAGATGAAGAGGTACAGACTTCAGTTAGAAAACAAGTCACAAGGATGTGCTGCTGTACAGTGTGAAGAATATAGTCAGTAATGTAATAACTTTGTATAGTGCAGAGGGTAATTAGACCTATTAAGATCATTTCATAATGTATAAAAATATCTAATCACTGTTGTACACTTGAAACTAATAACAATATTGTATGTCAGTTATAATTCAATTAAAAATAACTAAATAGAATGCTTCCAACTCTTATTTCAAAACAAGCAGTAAAGATAATTGCCAGTACTTTGATATTTCTCAAGAGGAGATATGATCTCTTCAGTGTAAGAATGCTTTTTTAAAAAAAATATTTATTTTGAGAGAGACAGCATGTGTGCGAGCAGCGGGGAGAGGCAGAGAGAGAGAGAGGAGGAGGGAGGGAGCGAAAATCCTAAGCAGGCTCCATGCTCTGCGGAGCCTCACAGGGGACTGGATCTCATGAACTGTGAGCTCACGACCTGAGCCGAAATCAAGAGTCAAGAGGCTCAACTGACTGAGCCACCCAAGCGCTCCAAGTATGCTTTCTTTATACTAAATAGATTCCAGTTAATTGAAAATAAGTTGATGTATTTATACTTTCATGGAAATGGTTACTGTGAAAGCTGTATCAATTAAATAAAATTAATACAACACATAGGATTTAATAGAAGGCCATATTTGTTTTCTAAGAGTTGAGCTATTGATTAGTGGTTAGTATATAATCAGGTTATAATTCTTTTTATTTGCCAGGGTCATATAATTTAAGGAAAGTTCTTTATTCTTCCTTACTTGGAGTGTGGGTGCTTTTAGCTTAATTGCTTTCCAGATATCGATTCCTTTTCTGCAACATATTGGTGACTTTTATCTTCAGATATAATGTGACTAGCCTTTTTTGTTCTGGAACAAAAGAGCTGTGAAAAGAGCCACATAATGTTTATTTTTGTTGTAAATGTGTGTGAAAATGGCTTATCAAACTGTCATTAATCTCATTTGTCAAGAAGGTATTTTTGTGCTGTGTCTGTAAGCTACTCAATTCAAGATTTTCCCATTAGAGAACAGCTTACAGTTAGTTTCAGGGTAATAGATTTAGGGAATTGATTTTCTGATTGAGAGAAAATGAAGCCATTAAGAAAGTAATATGACTGGGGCACCTGGGTGGCTTAGTCGGTTAAGCGTCCGACTTTCGCTTAGGTCATGATCTCACGGTTCATGGGTTCGAGCCCCGCGTCGGGCTCTG